TATTTTTCTTCATTTACCAGCCTCGAACGTATCCTTATCCCTAAGATTGACACGCCAAAAGGCGATGACAATCTTGGGAATTCGCCCTCAAAAAATAAGGGATTGCCTAAGATTGGCATCGTGATGAGAAGGTGCCCAGCATAGGGATAGGGATAGGGATATGTTCCAGGCTGGTAAGTATCGGTATCTTTTGCTTTCCCCGTTTTCTTTTCTTCATGCCGCCCCCCCCCTCCCGGGTTGCGGCCCCTGGACGCCGCAAGTTGGCGAGGCAATCTCTGGCGAGAGCTGGGGGGCGAAATGCGAACTCTGCTTTCGCTGAGCAGAGATTCGGGCACCTCGATGGGCGGCGGGGCAGGATTAATGAGGGTGCGGAATTCGTCGAACGCGTGGCGAATTCGAACCCGACCCAGGAGAATCGCTGGTTGTTGGGGGGACCCATCGGTTGTTGAAAGTTTTTTTTTTTTTTTTTTTTTTTTTTTTTTTTTCTTCTTTTTGTTTTTTGTTTTAATTCCCAGTTCCAACCTGCTTCAGCCGCCTTCCTGCTTCAAGAGTCGAGCGGTCCTCCCTCTTCCCCTCCTCTTCCGGAGGCGGGCGGAAACCCCATCTGCTTCCAGCGCCCTCCTACTTCATGGTTCTGCCCTTCTCTTCCGACCGATGGGTGGGGCTAAGTCGGGCCTGTCCCCCTACAGGGGGACTTTCGACGAAAAATAAAGAATACCCCCAAACATAGTCAAAAAACCGTAAAACAAATAGTCTGGGGATTATTTTTTGAGTATTTTTTGACCATCTTGGGGTATTCTTGGGGTATTTTTATTTTTCGTCGACAATCGTCCTGTAGGGGGACACGCCCGACATAAGGGTAGTGTTCGGATGTCGCCGCCCAAGAGCGGCCTCGCCGCTACCCCCCCCTCTTCGGGGCGGCGGGCCGCGGGGGGCGGGCCCCGCGGGAGGGGCGCCGAGCCCGGCGGCCCAGTCCTCGCCGAGCGGGCCCTCCCCGGGAACCCCGCCCTGGCCGCCGGCAGCGTCCGGCGCCTGCCATCTTGGGCGCCGCGTAATGGGGGGGGGTCATAAATTGGGGGGGTGGCGAGCGTGGTCCGAAAAGGTACCCAGACGGTACCCAAACGAGCCCCCTGGGGCTCTGGAGGGGCCCGAAAGGGGCACGAGAGGGGACCTTTTCTGACCCCCCCACTTGTGACCCCCCCACTAAGCCACGCCCAACCATCGGGGGCCCGTCGCCGATTCGCTTGCGAGCGGTCGTCGACTCTGGCCGATGCTTTTTCTCTACAGTCAAAAGCCCTGACAAGGACGCGCGACTTGGCTCAGGGTGTCCCTGCGCCCTTGCTCTTCCCTGCTCTCCCGAGTCCTCGAGGTTTTCGTCGTCCGCCGCCCCCAAAAATCCCAACTTCGGTTTCCAAGGGGTCCTGCGTCCTGGCCGCGCGTCCTTTGCTAGGGTTTGTGATTGTGCCCGAGCCAGCTGCGCCCCATTTCCCAGACATCTGTGTCGCTCGATTCTTCGTGTGTGTTGTTGCTGTTGCTGCTGTTGTTGTTATCGTTGTCGTGGTTGTTGTTATGGTTGCTGTTGTGGTTGCTGTTGCTGTTGCTGTTGTTGTTGTGGTTGCTGTTGTTGTTGGTGCTGTAGTTGTTGTGGTTGCTGTTGTTGTCGTTGCTTTCGTTGTTGTTGTTGTTGTTGTTGTTGTTGTTGTTGTTGTTGTTGTTGTTGTTGTTGTTGTTGTGGTTGTTGTTGTTGTGGTTGTTGTTGTCGTCGTTGTTGTCGTTGTTGTTGCTGTTGTTGTTGTTGTTGTTGTTGAACATTATTTCTTCTTAAGAATAATTATTGTTGGGACCCCTGGTGCACGGCCCCCCCGCCGCGCCTAGGCCGCAGCTACATTTTCATCATTTTCGTGAGGAAGTCTCAGGCAAAACGATTGTGTCCGGATCCGGTTGTTTTGTTCCCCCCCGCTTTCCCTTGTAAAAAATACTATAAAATGAAAATTCTTGTTCTTACTTGATCAAATTGCAAGAATCCCTTGCAAAAAATAAGGTAAAGTGGACATTCGTGCGCGCAAGACGAAATCCTTCCAAAACCTTAGGTTTCGTAACGTTTTTAACATAAAAACATCAAAAACCCAATGGTTTTTTAAGAAAAAATTGTCAAAATGTTCTTCCGCGCGCTCTTGCGGATTCCTAGGAAACCCACCAGATTTTAAACATTTCTGTTAAAAGGGCCTTTGCGAGGAACCTTTTCAGGTGCTTCGACCTTCTGCAACAACGGTTGCGAGCCTACGAGGGCCACCATCCCTTGCAAAAAATGACACGAAGTGCACATGCGCGCGGCCGCCGCGCGCGCGTGCCGAAATCCTGCCAAACATAATGTGATTTCAATAATTTCAAGATGCGATGTTCCGAAAACATATGCAAACGCAAGACTTTCTCATCCGAAAAATATCAAAATCCACCCGCGGGCTCTTCATAATTTCAAGATGCGATGTTTCAATAATTTCAAGATGCGATGTCTCTCTGTACTATGTATGTCATACGCAACAAATGCACCATGCGGGGCACATGCGGGGCCCAAACAAGTGATCAACCTCTGCGGGTGTGTACTC